AAATTTTCAGAGTAAAACGTCTAAAATACCAGACGAAATCTGTTCGAGGTCAGGTTTATAAACAAACAACATGTTTTCAAAATATAGCATAAAACTGTCCTTGGGAAGCGTAGCAAAAATAGTATACTAAAAGACGCAACGGACCAATAGCATTTTAGTGGCCCCTGATCTGACTTTAATTTGATCGTATGAATGGTTTGTATCGTCTATCCTCGTATATAATCATTGACTTAAATCGCGTTAGTTAATAACGAAATTAAATAAGTCAACTAACGAGAATGGAGTTTTGAATGCATATATTTCGTATAATTGTTGATTAGACAAACGAACGGAGGAACGATGCGAAGATTAGAAAGCGAAGCTAAATTGACGAGCGGTGGAGATGGCTGGTAAGCCAACTCCCACTTAACAAAGAGTTATTCAATATTTATAAGCTCACAAAAATAAATTACAGACATGTGATGAGTAACGGGATAAGAAGTGTGCATACGCCTACGCGCTCATACAAAGACAGTCAAGATATTGATAAGCGAATAATTAACAAGGTTAGAATGTGACTCAAATAGAATGAATAGAATGGGCTGTCCGAAAGTTAGAATAAGGTATTTGGGCTTAACATAATGACAGACACTACAGCATTTAAGATATTTCTCAAGTGGAATATACGACATGAAGTTGATAGGAGCGCTTTTGGCGCGAAGACAAAAGAATTCAAATTTTCTAAATAAAATCACAAAATTAGGTCATTTTCCAAGTGTGTTCTGGGGATCTAACGTACCCAACATCAGTCAAATACTTTCCGTTCCTCATCGCAATCTCATGTTTTTGGAAATTTCGGTGAATTTCAACGAAACCTTTAAAGTCAATTGACCTTCATCAAGGCTAAGGGCAAATTTTAGGGAAACATTGGGGAATTTCCACAGATCTTTGGAAACTTAGGGTTTTTGTTGCCATTTCTCAAAATGTCCTCAAAATGGGTCAAATTTTCCCCGGAATTGAGAGATCGGGCTGTAGCTCTTTACACAACCTTATGATTGCGGTTCAAGCTAGCGATGTTACACAAATAAACTATAAATCAAATAATATCGCTTCAGCTTCATCGAGCAGTATTGGTTCAGGTTCAGCCATAAAATTATGGCAGTATGGTTGTGATTTTACAATTTATTCCTTGAGTAACATCATGTCAATACAACAAATTTGTAGTAGGCGTCGAGTTGTGGTTGACTGTGATCATCACTACAGGAAGACTATGTGACATTTACCAAATTAGATCCCTTTGTAAGCCAAATGTCAGAAGGCAATCGAAAATTATAGTAAGATGTATTTGTTGGCGATCTCATGGTATCGTAATAATACCGAGATCGTACCAAAGTTTCCAAGTGGGACTACTGAATGTACGCGAGTTCGTGCAAGGTCACAAACAATGGAAAAATGTGTTTTTTTGGTAAACTTATACAAACAAGTACAGTAAAACCGTCACTGGTACAATTGGTTATAATAATAATTGTTTCCATTATATCAATCTCCTTCTCTCCATAAAAGTAAGTCACTACAAGTTAATGTTTCTTCAGATAAAAGTTTACTAAATTTTTGTTTGATGTGTATTTTTAAAGTCTATTTCCAACACACATAGATTTACGACAAATATATAAGTTTATTATTATCGACCTGTTTACACTATTATGGTTTTAGACATCTTCGAACACTTGAGCAGCTACAAATAACTTAGATACATGTATCATCAAATCGTTATTATACATTGCTTCTCTAATAGTTTCTATCACCTTGATCAACACACTCTTTAAAATTTTCAATAACCAGAGGATGCAACTCGTCTCGAGGTCCTCATAACTTTGAACTTCTACTGAATCCAGCTATATTTTTTTTTACCAACTGATGATTGATCATAAAACTTCATGTCGTTTATTTTTAAACTCCTGGTAGATCAACAATCAGTAATGTGATTTATCAATCCATCTCATATGGAGACTGACATGTGTGTCAATATTACCATTCACTGTCTATCTTTAGTTTTTTTCTGTTCTCATCTAAAAGTTTCTGTGTTTAGCAAGTGTTTATTTGCTCTTTCAAATGTATGAAAGTATCAGAAGAGATTTATAACTGTGTTAAAGTAGTACAAGTTACGGATTCATCTAGTTATGTGACTTTCACGTAAAGCTATGAGTTAAATTATCACATAACTATATTTAACACTCATAGGTTGATAGTAGTTACTGAATAACGTAAGTAAGCTCATTATATTGATCCTAGTTAACTATTCAGAATAAAAAGATGGACAGAAGTGTACTGGTGGTGAATATACTGATTGTCATAAGACAGAAATGAAAAATTGAAATTGCGTCATTTCATCTGTATATTTCGTTAAAAAATAATGGATTCCCTTACGAAGTAATAAGATGGTTTGGTACTGGTCTTTAAAATAATCCTTGATCCAAATATTATAGATTGATTGCTGTATTCAACCTTCCACTGACATTTGAAACCAAAACTATTTACTCTAGATACAAATTTTGCTTTTTAGTCACTTTGCAGTTGTATTTAGTTATCGTTTTGTTGTATAACACACTATTTGACATCCAGGAACATTTCAACTGTGCAATAATTCAACAATATTGTTGAATTGTTTTGAACATTTTGTTATGTTTTATTATTAATCAATAGTATCATAAATATTTAGGCAACAATTTATGCTTTGATTCTTCCTGTAGCTCTCCTGTAGTTTTTGCCGGTCCCAAGCCCGAATAAAGAAGGAGGGTTGAGCATGGGGTTCGCAATCCCATCCCGTAGAAAAAATCTTGTTAAAAAAACACCAACCAAATTAAACAAGTTAGACCATTTAAACTTTGCCCTAGGAACTGAACAAAGAATTATGACGCCTAAGGATAATAGCCAAAGTTCTTTGAAAATCACGAAGCTTTAATATCATTAAAAAATATTCGTCAACTATGGATGACCTAACAAATCTTCGTACTCTATACAGGAGAATCCAGTGATTTAGCTCAATAAAATGTATCCTCATTTTTTTTTTGGATCGTTTTCTATTTTCAGGTTGAAATATTTGGATCTTAAACGTTACAATTTAGATCTTTCATTATTGAAAATGTAGTGGATCGACAATATCTAACTTATAAAGCATCGTGAAAAAATCTCGAACTTCATACACATAGTTCCCTTAAAGAGAACAAGAATGAAGATTGTTGCAGAAGCTTTATCGCTTGGATTTAAATTTCATATCCTCAAAATACATACTGACAGAATCGATACAGAAACTTAATTTGAGAATTTATTTGATCAAATTAAAGAATCGCATCCAGTTAGTGAAGAGAAAAGAGGCTGGTTTATTTGTAAACTAGTTGATATCGCAAACCAATATTTCGTTTTACCCACACCAAAGCCTAAACTTTTATCTAAAGACCACCTAAAAGCATTATGAAATATTGAACAAAATGATGATATAATGGTATTACGGTTAGATAAAGGTTTAAGTGTTGTTCTAATGAACAAAACAAATTATGTCTCTAAGATGAAGTTCATTTTATGTGACCACATGAGATTCATGTTTGATAAAAGTAACAAGGAATTAAATGATTCAACTGAAAAAAAAAATCACAAAAGTACTCAAGGATCTCTTGAAGAAGATGATGATCGATAATTCCTCTTTCAATAACCTACAACCTCGAGGGTCTCGTTTGTCCTATATGTATAGTTTACCAAAAATACATAAACAAACTGTACCACTCTTTGTTCTTGCTCTCTTTAAAATCTCAAATTGTTGATTCTTTGAAGTCATTTCAATAACATCTATACTGAAGCCTAGTAAATAAATTATTCACCTTTAGAAATATAATGCTAACGAAAACATATATAGTTAAGTTATATATTTTCTCTATTGTTTACTATCTTATTACTTAAACTTTCTAAATTACCAGAAGGGGTTTTGTGGAGATTGTAGTAATTTCAATGGTTAGGATCATGAGTCAGTTGAAGCTAGACCAACACCATGAAAAACCTGGAAGCACTGGACGGTCGTTTCGTCCTATTGTATGACTCCTCAGCAGTGCGCATCCACGACCTCGCCCCCTTCGAGATTTGAACCCAGGACCTACTGGTTTCGCGGTGAGCACTTAACCATTAGACCACTGAGCTAGCAGGCATCCAACGGTGTTATTGTCTAAAATATTTTAATTATTTTTTAAACATCATTGAAAATGATCACAATCAATCAATCAAATCAAAGATAGGCTTTTATGGATATTATAGTAAGATAATAGTTGAATTCATGAGTCCATTGAAACTAGACCACCATGAAAAACCTGAAAGCATTAGACATCCGTTTCACCCTAGTTTAGGACTCTTCATTAGTGCTCATTCACGATATGCCTCACGAGACTAGAGACTGATAGGTCCTCTGTTCGAATCTCAAAAGACGGGATCATGAATATGCACTGCTGAGGAGTCCTATACTAGGACGAAATGGCCATCCAATGCTTCCAAGTTTTCTATGATGGTTTAGTTTCAATGGATTCACGAATTCAACTATTAAATTAATCAAATAACAATGAATTATTCAATTGATTAACCACAATGACAATAATATCAATAATAATAATAATAATAATAATAATAATAATAATAATAATGAACAATAAACGTTAATTATGTATATGCATTACATGTTCAAATGAAGGAAAGAAATTCTCAAAACGAATAGTTCAACAATCAATATTTAGATTGTATATGTGCATTTGAATTATTCTTTTTCTGGTTAGCGTTGTTTTAACAAGTTGGAAAATGTTGGTCGGCGATCTATACTCCATTGGGAGTAACAGGAGTAAGTAAGTAAGCAAATAAGTAGGTAGGTAAGTAAGTAAGTAAGTAGGTAAGTGAGTAAGTAGGCATGTATGTAGGTAGGTAGGTAAGTAAGTAGTATATGCATTTGTCATAATAAATGCTTTCTTCAAAATAAATATCTGACTATATTATCTTGTTGTAAAACAACCACATAATTTACCAGAAGTTCTACGTGTAAATGATTGATTTTTGATAAATTCCTTTTCATTATCCATATAATTGATACTAAATTTATCAAATGATGCATACATATTTTGATCTATTAATGAATAGGAAACAAAGAAAAATAAATAAATAACTTATAAAATCAATAAATTAAATAATCTAGATAAATGATAAATGAAATCACGAGTAAATAGAAGCTAGATCATCATGGACCCGACCGTAGCTGCTACCTTGACGTGGTGGTCGAGCTTGCCTATCGTGATGACCCAACCGAGCTATATTGGCTGGAACATATGTTCCTGTAGGTTCTACCATGCCAGGCAGGTCGTTTGGAGAACGGTAAGACTAAAAGCAGCAACTCAAGGTCTGAGGGCGAAGTCATACTGTTGACTGAACAGAGGTGTGACAGCAGTAAGGTGTTTCCCTCGGACAACCAGCATCTGTAGCGATGCTGCCTTCTCACAAGAAAGGAAAGGGTTAGAAAAGGTCGACGCTAAATATGAACATCTCGCCTCATCCCACGGATTCCTGTCTCCGGCGGTAAGGCCCTTTGAAGAACGGAGCTAACACATTAAAAACATCCCACGAAAAGGCCGTGCGCAACCGGCCTCAAGCAGTTATCCCTTGGGCTCTGCGGTCACGCTCCCAGGTCTTTAAGACCAACACCAATCCGATCTCCTTTTCAGGTTCCTCAAGAAATGCTCTTCCACGGTGTGGGCAACCGGGAAGTGACATCAGCCCTTCTACCCGTAACAGCACACTGACTGAGATCGTCATGGAATACCTGGAAGTATTGGATAGCTATTTTGTCCTATTTTGGATTTTAAGGTATCAATGATCATTATTAGTTATTATGATTCTACACTAATATACATAAGTATGAATTACAAATAATTGGAATAATACTCATCGAGTGGATACATTACGTAATAATGACATATCGATTATAAATTAACATTGAGTAATTGGAAGAAAAAGGATTGATCATAATCAAAGTATTTATTTGAAAATCAAGTAGTTGCTATGTTGCATAATATATGAAAAAGAGAAGGAACTAAGTATATTTTAATGAATAATCAGTAGAATAGTAGATATGCAAGAATCAAAAGATGAATGTTGAGAAAAAAAATACAAAAATTCAAAAAACAAAATGGAAGAAGTAAGAAAATAGTTCTGTTACAAACGCCTCTATATCAATGGCCAAGGTAGTGAGAGTGATTGTACAACCTTCTTTTGGATGCAAAGGTGAGGTTTATGAACATGGATTGCAATGCTTTCAGCAATATGCAAAAGATGCGCTCGTTAGCCATGTGGAAAATTTAATGGAATATGGTAGATAACCTTAAAAGTTTTATTCAGTTCAACTTGATGACCTATGTCAACGAAGTGAGCGAGAATAGAACTTTTAATCACTCTTACCTGTCCTTTGCTTAACCACGACGGATGGTGCTCTGTTATACGATGACGAACGTGCCGAATTGTACTCGCTATATAACTGGCTCCACAAGAGCAGTTGAATCGATAAATACACATAAATTTGGTGAATTCAGACAATCTGTCTTTATTGGCCGTTCTTATTGTGGGGTGGTTGCAGAAGATAGAACTTAGTCAGGCTACATTAAATGTTTTTTGTAACTGTTTCCTTAGTCTCTGAGTCACACTTTCTTCAATTGTGTCATTTAGAGATTGTACTTTTATGAACAACACTTTCTTAAGGACGGTAGGTAACTTTGTCCTTTTTTCATCTCCATCATGTGTTTATCGATAAATTTCATTGGGTACTGCTAGGTTTGAAGCTACTACGAGTTCACTTAGTATGCGAATGGAACAAAGACTCGGTGACCAAAAACCAACAAGCTAGCTATTCGTTACGTCTCAGCCCCGCTAACTAGAGGATGAAGTCCAAGCTTTGGGTGAAGATGTATATTCTGCGAACAGCCAGAAACGAGCGAATAATAACAGACACAAAACAAACGTATATATACAACATAAAACTGTCCTTGGGAAGCGTTGCAAAAATAGCATACTAAAAATACACAACGGACCAATAGCGTTAAAGATTCTCCCAAGTGGGAAATACGACATGAAGGTGAAAAGTGCATTTTTGGCGCAAAAACAAGGAAATTTAAATTTCCAAAATAAAATTATAAAATGAAGACGTTTACCAAGTGAGTCCTGAGGATCCAACATATCCAACAGGTATCGACATTCCCATGATAATAAACTAATTAGAAAGAAATTTCTTCGTTCGATTCGTTTCTTTTTTATTTACCAAATGTCAAAATGGAAGTTTTCACTATTATGATTCTAATTAAACATCTTATAGTTTCAAATTAAACTTCTTGAAGATAGAACTTAGGCAACCATATTGAAGTTTGCTGATGTGAAAGAGTCACTTATGCATCATCAATATAAGAGTAACTGTATAGGACCATAGGTTAAGAAAAAGATTATAAGGTTAAAGTTAGTTAACTCGATGACTATAACATACTCATGTTTTAGAACAAGGGAGGAAGTTCTAGGGAACCGGGACAAGAAAAAAAAACGCAAAATCATATAATGGTGGGTCATATGTACAGAAAAAACACCTGGAGATCTGTTTACCTCACGACTCTCTTTAAGTTCTGATTTCTTGATTTGAAGTAAATTCGATTCATTGATGATGTTATACTTACGAATTTATACCTCCTTACGTAAAAATTATGGATAGAAATGTTAATTACCTCAGGGATTTGTGTACTTATTCAAAACATAGAGAGTATTAATCATTGTCAGACCACCATTGAAAACCTGGGAGTACTGGACGGTTATTTCGTCCTAGTATGGGACTCCTCAACAATGTTCATCCACGATCCCAAGCTCACTACTCGGACATAGTAATTTCGGTCCCACATATGAATGCCTGACCTCTAGAATGCTGAGTCAATATCCAATGGTGTTATTGTTAAAAAAGAACAGAATTTCAACATTCTTTATCCATTTGGCTAAATAGCGTTTTGGTATTTTTGCTAGCGTCAGTTCGTGATGAAAACCCTAAATTTAATCCTTATCCCTAATCATCAATTGTAAATCATAATCCTTATCCTTCACACAGGTTTAAAACCCTCATTTAACCCTAGTTCGTAGGTGAACATTCTCAAGGTCACTTAGGCATCGCTCAAAGGATATCCATAAATAATAGTCTCACCGCTACAAGTTTCAAAATGACTACTAATAATACTAACTAATGAATATTATTCAGTAGTATCGTGTAAAATACATAAGAAAGAAAGAACATGAAAGAAATTAGGCTAAAAAGTGCAAAACGATAGCAACCAATGGTTAGAGACCTTGAATGACTCAAAATCATTTACAATGGCTCAGATGCATCCACTCTTTGTGTTCTCCCAAATTCTAATCTTCTGAATTCTTTATGTCCCTTTTTTTCGCTTTCCATATTTATTTCACTGGATGATACTTCTTGAATAACATGTTCAAACCCTAATCTTCCCGATTACTGCTTATACTTTTAATGTCTTTACCACTACGGGATTTGAATTGACAATTATATCTCTGTGCTAATGTGGTATGACAACTCGAACTGATGTACGTACGTACGAAATTCTACGTTGTTACTGATTGACTGACTGAATGACTGTATTGTCTCCTTATATCTTCTATTGTATACTTTAATTAAATATCTAGATATAAAGTAATTTTTTATTTAATTCCTATCACAACTATTGCAGGAACTCTTACAGAATCTAAATAGAAGTTTTTCTTCAAAGAAAATCACTGAAATCACAAATTGCTCTAAGTTAGACAACCATTGAAAACTTGTTAGCAATGAAAAGCTCGACTATCCTAGTCTGAGGCTGTTCAGAAGTGAGTACTCATGAACCATCAATCGTCAATCAAGTTCAGGACCTTTAGTTTATTCTTCCTTTGAAAATATAGAGTCAACTTATTGAATTCATTGTATTCATTTAAACTTTTGATTGGTTTTAAATACCTTGAAGAGAACATCAAACTGATAGTTTTAATTCTTTTGGAGTTATGATTAAACAGTAAAGTTTTAGTTCCTTGTAGTTTACTGATGATATCAGTGTTAGGATTCAGGAAGTTGATTATTATGTCAATCTTATTTTACATTGATAACATGAATTCTATTTCATAATATCATAGAAGAAATTCGTCAGTTGTCTTTTTTTGATTATTTTATTCTGTCGTTTCTTTTTGGTTGACTTCTAGCTTAGTGATTTTATTTTTAACTAATTGAAATATCTGAAGGGGTTTTGTGGAGATTGTAGTAATTTCAATAGTTGAGATCATCAATCAATTAGACCCAGGACCTATGAGTTTTGAGCGCGAGTGCTAAACCACTAGACCATTGAGCCGGTCGGCATCCAATGTTGTTAATGTCTACCTTCAACCAATACACGAAGTTGCACCATAGTCCACCATTATCATTAGTGAGTTACTATGTCACAACACACCCAGTTGAACTCCATTAGTGGATTCGTTAAAATTAGACATTGACACCATTGGGTACCGGCTCATTGGTCTAGAGGTTAAGTGCTCGCGCGTGAGACTGATAGGTTCTGGGTTCGATTCCTGCAAGCGGGATCGTGGGTGCGCACTGCTGAGGCGCCCCACAATAGGAAAAGGTGGCCATTCAGTGCTTCCAGGTTTTCCATAATGATATAGCTTCAATTGACTTATAATCTCAACTATTGAAATAACTGAAATATCCACATATTATTTCATTCTTACAGATTACTAGCAGTTGTTCATTAGCTCACTGGAGTGAAGTTGATAACCATTTTGCACAATGTTCTTGCACGTCACATGTATATTCGCAATATTTTTTTATTTGGTGTCTTAAATCGATTTACATCTACTTAACACTACTTGAAGTTGTAATCATAATAACTACCATGAAGATTTGTTTGTGTAAGCATGTTACTTCTAAATTTTGATCTAGTCTAATCATTTTGGAACAAGTTAGATCGGACGATTATGTTATCGACGGGGTTGTCGATGAGCTTATCAACCTAGGTTTTACGGTATCTGAGTCCGATTGGATCGTATGAATGATTACTATCGTAATATACA